GGCTTCCTACCTCTACCTGCTCAGTGGCGACGGAACAGCTCCGCCTTGGCCGTGCTCTGGCCATGGTGAGCATGCCCGGTGTGCATGTGGGACGCTGGCATTCCTAAGCATCCAAGGCTCAGCATGGCTGCGTGAGTGTTCGTGAAGGTGCGCGTGGGTGCATCGTGCTCCAAGGTGGCCAAAGGCATGGCCTTTGGGCCTCCCAAGTGGGGAGACTACGTCGGCGGACATGGCAACGGCAAGGAATGGCGAGCAGAGGAACTAGCGGGGCTCACTGTGGGGCTCGGGGTGGTGGTCTAGCGGTGCAGAGGCGAGTTGTGGCCGTGACGAGGTGAAGCAGTGCAGGTAGGACCACGACGGCGATGAAGACGAGCGGGTGTCGTCCTTGGCTCCGACGGCCACAGGTGGAACCGCGATGGCTTCCGCTCCTCTCCTTCCTCCTCCCTTCTCCTCCTCCTCCCTTCTCCTAGCTTGGTATGGTAGGTGGATAGCCACAGAGTGGTGGTGGCATGAGGGAAAGGGCGCTAGGGCACCGGGGCGTCTTATATAGCTATGCTCAGCTATGGCGAGTGCAGCGGATGGTGGATGAAGGTGGAGGGGCACGTGTAGGGTGATCGAGCCCCCTGGGCTAGGGTTTTGGGGCGCGAGGTGAGTGCGGTGGCTCTGGCGTTTCCATTTTGGGAGCGACAGCCGGTCAAAGGAAGGACGGTGGGTGTAGGGGCGCTGCAAGTGGCGTGGGCCATGGTGCTCGCATCACCACAGGCAGGGGCGTTAGCTGAGGCAGGGCAGGTGACGCGGATTGCCAACGTGGCGTGCATTCGTGCTAACGCAAGCCGTGGCTCAAGGGCAGACGGTAGGGATGGGAAGGCGCGGCCTTGGATCCGTTGCTGGCGAGATGCTCTGCTCTGTTTTGCAAAAGCAGAGGAGGGAGCCGGGGTAGGGGATGACAGCGGGATCCCACCTGACAGCGGCAGCGTAGAGGGGAATGGCGAGGCGCGACGTGGGGCACGGCGTGGGCTACTGCTTCTTCGCGAGCGTGGGCGAGCGAGCGGGGCTATTGCTGGGCCACTCAACGCGCGCGGGCGCAGGCGCAGGTAGGCGCTGGGCTGCGGTGCTGGGCCGGCTGCGGCGGGGTGCGGGTGTAGGAGGCTGGGCCATGAGCTGGGCCGGCTCGGGCGGCTTGGGCTGCTTTGGTTCATTTCCAATTTTCCCTTAATTCTAATTCCTTTTCTATTTCTATTTCCCGTTCTATGCTATACCTTGGACTTCTATGTGTGTATTCATGTGTTGCCAAGCATGTACAGACCCTTATGGGGTCCACTAGGGGTCAACTAGGGTATCAGGGTTCAAGCCAAGGGTTGGCAACTCACAAACACATCAAGTTTATTATAAGGGTTTAGTTGATTTTAATTCATCACATAAAATCGTGAAGAAGCAACTCACGAGTTGTTTAGTATGCAAATGCTCAACCATGATAACTTGGGATCTACTTGTGCAACTACAAGGGTGTTTTCCTAGTATGCACACTCACCATGCATGGGTTACGTTAGAAAAAAATTTAAGTTCGGAGTTTTAGGTTCTTGGAAAAACCTGGGTTGTTACAAGCTCCCCCTTTGGAAATGGCGGCTGCGCGCGGGACGCGAGCTCCTGGTGAGGATCGGTGACACAACGGGCGCGCGGGCTGACCATTCATCCAAACAACTAGGCATTTTATACCTAGGCTATTCAATTTAGTTCTGTTTATGCCTTCAATATCCACAATGTTCCTTTGTTTCTTAGCAATCTTGTTGTCTTCATAATTCATTAGTGAATGAGCAGAGAAGTGGTAGCTTTTTTTTAGTACCAGATGCTTATTCTGTCTCTAAATGTTACTTATGTCTGTTCAACAATACTATTTTTTGATCTAGCATTTCTTGTGTTCATGCTCAACAATACAGATGGGGTGATGCATAGGCTCTTGGCACTCACACACCTGCTGGGCTCCTCCTTCAACATGTAGTTTTCAGCTGTAGCAGCATATGCTAGATCTTTGCTGTTGCGTTCTTTTTCTCTCTCTTGACTTGCTTGTAGAACTATAGAATGTAAGGTCATTTATCACTGTTTTTAGATCTTGGTACAACCTATATAGTATTTTATCATGCAAAGCTGCAAAGAAACTAGATATACGTCGCACAACCAAAATGTTGGCACGATTTTTTTTTATCGTGCACCATGTTTTTTTTGCTTCATATTAGCAAACTCTACTAGAACAATTCCTTACAAAATTAAACTTGGATATTGTGCTGACGTTTTCTAAATCTTTTCAGAAGCTCAATCCTGGGATACTACATGGAGAATATGCAAAATTTGGCATAGGTAATTTTCCCTACCGATGACAAGCACTTCAGTTTCATTCATTAGGCATTTAATCAGTTTTTCACGAAGCTGTTTTTACTGAACTACAACATCTGATTGGCGTTATATTAGCAATTCAGTATTAGCCACTAGGCATTATATAAGCATTTCAGTATTATATAGGCATTTCAGTATTCAGCTGTGGGTTGCAAATGAACACAGACACTATACTTACTTTTTCAGAATACATAAATTGCCTATTTAGGAAGACATTGTCACCTAATGAATGATATTTAAATTGCCTAAGAAAATGTAGCTTGCTGTGCTTTCTCTGACCCCTACTTTTTTTCCGTTGTTTGGTTGCTTCAGTTCTTATCTGCAGGACATAGCAACTGTATTCTCAACTAGGCCACTATTGGGTAGCATAAGCAGTATTTTTGGCACTGCATAGCTTGAGCTCTGTTTTCTTCAGGTTTGAGCAGCGGCTTGCCACGTTATCCCTAGCTTCTTTGCAGCTGCTTGACGTTTGTATTGATTTATTTATTCTTTTTCCTAACCTACTAGCTCTTTTGAGTGCTTAGTAATTTTGTAGCAGCAGCAGCAGTAGTTCTGCAGAAACATTGCTCTGCAACAACAGTTTTAGGACTTCAGGTAATGTTTCTCTCTGCAATTTTTTTGTTTACCAATGGCAGTTCAATGGACCAAAATTGATGTGTTTACGTGATCATTCCTTCCTCTTAGCTAAGATTTAATCATTTTTATTCACTAGCTACCTGCCGTAACTTAGCCTGCAGATTTTTAGTTTCAGTCAGTGTTCTGAATTTCATGATACAGTGATGTACCTTTAAACTATCATGACTTGCATGTTTTATGCATCTATAATATCCTAGTAAGAATGCGCTATATTGCCTAGTAAGAATAGACTAAATTACAGTGATGTATCTTTAAACAAAAGAGTTGGTCAGTGATCCCTAAATATTGTTTTTTTACTAGTAAGAATAGGCTAAATTGTCTATTTAGGAAGACATTGTTGCCTAACTAATGATACTTAAATTGCCTAAGCAAATGCAATCTACTATAATATTACCAGCAGCAATCTGGGCTCCAGGAACAATAATGTCATCTCAAATAGGCAACATAAGGTTTTTATTTTTTAACATAACATGCATCCTTTTATATTTCCATCCAGCAACAATTTATGACACATGTTATCCTTTTTTTAACATGCACGATACATGTACTGAGAAGCAAGGTATAGGCCATGTACAGAAAAGATGCAGAAATGTGTGCTTTTTTCTCGGGATTAAATGTACAGTGTTGTGCTGTAGGAAACTGCAGATGTAAATGTGTTCTTTTCTGAATATATTTCCTTTTTTTTTGTACGTATACATGCAGTACCTAAAAGCATATTTTTCGGCCTGATTTGTCTTTTTTTCACATAAACCATGGTTGTAATCTGGGCTTGGGCCGCGCAAGCCGTGACTAGTCTCGGTTACATACGGCGGGAAAATTTTCTTCCGTGCGCCAACTAGCCAGGGCCAGCGTGATTAGCGTCCTTGCCAGAAAAAGAAATATAATAACTGCACTTCACTATAAATGGCAAGGCCGTGCGGGGGGACTATATTACGGCCGGCCGTACATTAGCTTCCCCCCGAAAATTAATGGTCCTGTTCGTTTTTCTTATAATCCGTCTTTTTCAATTTGTTTTTTCAGTCAGAACAGTGTTTTTTTCTCACAAAAATCAGCCGAAATAATATTTCTGCTTGTTTTTTCAGCGAAACAAACGGGCCAATAGAGATTTTATGACTTATTCACACTCATCTCCTTATTTGAGACATGTACCAGAGGTTCATTGCACATAATTTTCACTAATATGAGTCTCTCCGTAACATGAAATATGGAGCTCAATTCTTGAATCTAATTATATAGAACAGAACCATTATTATAAACAGTAGATATCACAGAGAGGTGAGGAAAGGGACCTAGCTTTGTAGAGTGTGTGTGATCGTGTGTGGGGAAAGAAGGATACGGAGATGGATGGGTGGGGGAAGGGCTAAGGCCCTGTTTAGTTGATCTTTTGAAGCTGCTTTTACTTTTCTAAAAGCTAAAAATTAAAGGGCTCAAAAGCCACATCTGCTTTAGGCCAAAAGCGACTTTTACTCTAGTACAAAACTAAAAGTAGTCATTCCCTGATTTCAGACGCTTTTGGAGTCTCGTAAAAAAAGTTGTTTTTTGGGTAAAAAAAATACCCACCTGCCACAGCTTATGAAAAGTACCGCTTCGATCTTCTGTTTCTCGTGAGCGTATTTTTCTCCCAACCGAGTGTCATCATAATCAAGAGTCAATCTTTCGAGTGTCATATTTGCAATTTTTTCCTTCATCGCAGTCTCCCGCGGATGCGACCCTGGCGTTGGGCAGCTACGCCCCTACTCCGTCCTCCCCCAACGGCGGGCGCCTCGGCCCCTGCTCCAGCCATCCCCGGTGGCGGGCGTCTCCGCCCCTGCTTCGGCCTCCCCTGACAGCGAGCGCCTCAGCCCCTACTCCGGCCCTCCTGGGCAGCGGGCGTCTCCGCCCCTGCTCCGGCCTTCCCCGGCGGCGGGCGCCTCCTCTTCCATAACTGGCGTCCGGCGGACCTCCTCCTCCATGGATATGGCGCCGGTTGGGATTCACGAGTACCTCCATGGCTGGCGCCCGGCACACCTCCTCCTCCATGAATCCAGCGCAGGTCGAGCTTCACAAGTGCCTCCATGGCCAGCGCGACCGTGGGCTCCACTGGATCCGGTGCAGGTCGACCGCGGGCTCCCAGTCCCTGGCTCCGGCAGGCGTGGCCCCGTCCCTGCGCGCTGCAGCGACCCCGTCCCCGCGAGATGCAGCAGGCGTGACCCCATCCCCATGCCCGCGAGCTCTAGCAGGCGCAGTCCCATCCCCGTCCCCGTGAGCTCCAGCAGGCATGGCCCCTTCCCCGCCCCCAGCCCAGGCCGGCGAGCCCCCACGCACCCAACTCTGCTACAGTCTCTGTCAGGAGGAAGAAGATGAATGTGGTGAGGCTAACATGCGGGGTCCACTCATTAGTGAGATAAGCTGACAGTAGTATTTTTCCAAAAGCCACAGCTCCTTAACTAAACGGCTTTCGACTATCCGACGGCAGCTTTTATAAAAGTCACAGCTCACAGCAGCTTTACCAGTAAATTGAATGGTGGACTGCTTAAATCTAATGAATTGATTTGATTCCTCTTGTCAGTCAATAATAAACTTTTCTTTAAGCTCTAGCATGGGATGAAAACGGTATGGAAATATCCCGTACCGAATCATATCGTTTTTTACATTTGATCCGATCCAATTTGTATTTTCGGATAAATTCGAATTCGGTTCAAAATTCGGAATACAAAATTTGAGATCGGAACGAAAATGGTTTAGTCATTTTCCGACCGTTTTCTACTTTTCTAATTTTAATTCGGAATATCCTAAATTCAAAATTCGGTTTAAACCGAATTCAAAATTCGAAATTTGGCCCACTAGAAGTCCAGCCTTAGAAAAATTGTATCTTTTTCATACGGATGAAGATTATTTTTATATGAAAATTGTTGTTCTCGACGAGATCTACAACTTTATAGTTTTAAAATTTTCATTTGAGGTCTTTAAGATGTTCAAATAAACAAATAAAGTTTCAGCAGTATATTAATTGAGTAAAAGCGCTTGCTGCCTTAGAAAAACCATCTCTTTCTTATATGGTATCAAATAGAGATACTTTTATGAAAGTTGTAGGACTTGTTAATTGTTATTCACTTGGTCATGCACTTATTAATTGTTATGCTCTCGGTCTTACTGGTTAATATTCCATATTGATTTTTTCGTATACCGACCGTGTTCGACATAATTCGGCTCGAATTAGTTTGTTTTCGAAATTCTCGACATTCCGTAAGTTCGTGTTCGTTTTCGTGTCCAGTTTTACCGCTTTCACTTTCGTTTTCGTATTTAAATGTAAAAGTAGAAAATGGTTCAGAGGTTTTCCGACCATTTTCATCCTCTACTAGCAACAACATCAGACTCCATTTCCTAGGCTTTTCACTTGGAGCCGAGACGTGGGATTTTTATTTGTGAGCAACTTTGGCATCTCAAACTTCCTTTCTTTTTATGCCCATCGTAGCGTCAGAGGGGGGGAGGCTCAAACAGCTACGTCACTTCGTTAACAGGAGGAATCGAAGGCCCTGTTTGTTTCTCTTATAATCCGTCTTTTTCAGTTTATTTTTCAGTCGGAACGGTGTTTTTCTCTCACAACAAATCAGCCGGAACAGTGTTTTGACTTGTTTTTTCAGCGAAGCGAACGGGCCGAAAGCTTCAGCAGAGCAATGTACACTCCCCCTGGCAGGAAGGGTACAGGGGAAGTGAAGCTAGGCTCGAATCCTTGTCTCCATCTTACAAGTGCCTCGAAATCAACCTTATTCTTGGTGAACAAAAATACATATATCCAATTAGTAAACATATTGTATCATGATAGGCTAATGTTTTTTCCCTTAGTCTAGCATAATATATAACACATCTATCTCAAAAAGCAAGCAGATCAAAGTATGTTTGTCCATTCATTGTTCATCATGAATCCTAGTCAAATGTTCAGCCGCCAGGACAGCTGTGTTGTTCCTACTACGAGACTCGACTCAACAAATCAGCCCGGCTTATCAGTCATGATATAATGTTTTTCTCTCACAACAAATCAGCTTCAGCCGGCCTATCAGTCGCATAAACCTTCAACATTAATCTAGTAGACTAAGACTAACCTCAAGTATGGTACAAATCAAATTCTGATCTACATAATTTCCATCCATGCTAGAGTGCACCAATTCAGAAAGTCATAATAATCAACAACACAAGCATAATAAACCCTACAATTCTTATTTGCTAGGCAAGCTCCATGTTGAAGCCGTGTGTGACCGCCGCATTCTGTTTCCTGGGCTTTTCATCCTGTATTGCAGGTTGGGCCACCCTGACAAAAGTAATGCTCACAGGGCTAGTTGAGGGGCTCCGGTTAGAATATACTGTAATGACTAGTAAATTAAATTGCAGGATTGCTGCTTAATTAAATCTGGTGGAATGGTTTTATTCGTCTTGTCAGTCAGTGATAAACTTTTCTTTAACTCTAGCAACGTCCACTAGTAGAGAACAGGCCTTTGATCATCGGCCAAAATGGGCTCTAGTCCCGGAATTTTTTGCGCCCGGGATTAGAAATACCTTTAGTCCCGGTTGGTGTCTCCAACCGGGACTAAAGGTCCCTGCCCCAACGGCTACTGCGCCAGACAGAGGTGGCAGGGACCTTTAGTCCCGGTTGGAGCCACCAACCGGGACTAAAGGTATACTTTTACTCCCGGTTGGGGGCTCCAACCGGGAGTAAAGGTCTACTCCCGGGCCGTGGCTGCGCCCGGGGTTGGAAAGTTACCTTTAGTCCCGGTTGGAGCCACCAGCCGGGACTAAAGGTCCCCCCTTTATATCCCGGCCGTCTCCTCCTTCCTCCCCGAGCCCGAGCTCAGCACATTTTGAAGCTCACTGCAGTAGTGTTCTTGCTTCCTCCCTCCCTCCATTGTTACTCCATCCATTATTCGATTCTTCCATCGATTTCTTCGATTCCTCCGTCGATTCTTCAGTTGTAAAGGTTACCAATCTCATACTCTCATTTTTCACCATTGTCTTATCTCATTTTGTTCACTATATATATATATGGTTCTTTATTTTGGTTTTTTTTCATTTGTAAGCAATTTGAGCTCAAAATCACTTCAAGCTTGCATATTTACATGAAATAAGGTTAAAGTAGCTAGTTGAACTTGCGGACCGTGTTCATCTCGGCGAGCACGTTCTCTGCCGAGCGGTAACGGACGTCAAGGAGGAGCTTTGATTCTACGAGGGAGAGCGGCAACGGTCGTGGAAGACCGTGTTCCCTTCCTCGTAGAATTGGAGCTCTTCCGTGGTCAAGTACGGTGCCGTCCTGTGGAGAAATGCTCACCGAGATGATCACGTAAGCAAGGTCAACTAGTACGGATGGTTATTTATTCACATGTCCTGATATCGTCGCAGTAGTCTGTCAATCACCGTACCCAAACGTAGTATATATATAAATATAAACTTAGAAAATAGTTAGAAAATTATAGAAAATCCATACTAGTTGAACTTGCGGACCGTGTTCATCTCGGCGAAACACGTTCTTTGTCGAAAGCGGTAACGGACGTCAAGGAGGAGCTTTGATTCTACGAGGGAGAGCGGCAGCGGTCGTGGAAGACCGTGTTCCCTTCCTCGTAGAATTGGAGCTCTTCCGTGGCCAAATGGCGGCGGTGCCGTCCGGTGGAGAAATGCTCGCCGAGATGATCACGTAAGCAAGGTCAACTAGTATGGATGGTTATTTATTCACACGCCCCGATATCGTCGCGATGAGTCTGTTATGTGTGTACACTCCCATTCTTACGTTAATTTGCGAAATATCATGTGAATTACTTACCGCCGCATGAAGAAAAGCGAGAACACAATGACCATTAAAATATCATTGTTTAGAGATCTAGATAATTTTATAGTTTCTTAATTTTATTTGTTTATAAAAGGAGAAATTTATAGTGTATTAAAAATGAGTATAGAGAGTAGATGGCAACCGCTTACGGGTCCTCGGCCTCTCATGGGTTTCAAAAGCGACTTAGGCCGGGCCTCCCTCTCATTCCATGCGGCAAGTGTCGTGATGAGATGAAGATTGTGATGGAGTACCGAGTGAAGAAGGAGGGTCCCAACAAGGATCGTATCTTCTACAAGTGTCCGGATCGCAATGTGAGTTATTTTATCGTATTTAATGATTATGGTTAGTTTATACCTATTTTCATGATGGTTGTGATTAAAGTTCTAATTTTTGTTTTAATTTCATTGGGATGGCGGTGGGACGATGTTCAGCTTCTCACCGGGAGGAAGAGTATGTTGGACTCGTGCAAAATATCTTGCACTGTGAGGCAGAATCGACGGCTAATGAGGCAATGATCCAGCCAAGAAGCCCAAAGATGGTGCACAATCGGGGATCTGTCTGCTTTTAGTTGAGATTGGTCGTGAAATCCCTACGCTACTGAAATGTATTTTAGCTTTAGTTCTTTTAGTGGTAGTTGGGATTGTCTACATTGTAGCGATGCTTTCATAAATTTGTATCTTTTGTGGTGGCACGCATGTTGTATAAATAATTAATTATGATCTAGGTTTTAATATGGTATTTATGTCATGTAATGCAGATGAGCCGTCATTGGATGTATAATGCTGATCGCCGCTCCCAAGAGTTCATTGACGGCGTGCATTCTTTGTTACGTGCGGCCGAGGCAAACAAACGCGACGGTTTCATGTGCTGCCCATGTGCCATATGTAAGAATACGGTGGAATATCCTTGCTCAAGGACTCTTCATTCACACTTGTTCAAGTCGGGTTTCATGCCAAACTATATTTGTTGGACAAAGCACGGAGAAACCGGTGTTGTAATGGAAGAAGGTGAAGAAGAACAATGGGACGACAATGATATTATTCCCGATGGTGCGTGCTTCAATGATACTGCAATGGGAGAAGCTGAAGAAGAGGTAGCCGCAGAAGATGAGCCGGCTGATGATCTTTCTCAGGTCATTCGTGACGCACAAAGAGAATGTGAAAGTGAAAAGGAGAAGATCAAGTTCGAGCGGATGCTAGAAGATCACAAGAAATTGTTGTACCCAACTTGTGATGCAGGGCAGAAAAAGTTGGGAACCACACTAGAATTGCTGCAATGGAAGGCAAAGAATGGTGTATCTGACAAGGGATTTGGAGAGTTACTAAAAATCCAAAAGAAGATGCTTCGAAGGACAATGAATTGCCCGCCACTACCTACGAAGCAAAACAAGTTGTCTGTCCTATGGGGCTAGAAATAGAGAAGATACATGCATGTCCT